TTCCTATTTCCTTGTTCTTCCCAATTACCCTTTGGCTTCACATGATGCTCCATTTTAGCCAGCAGATGCCACTAAAGAGTAGAAGTGCAACAGAATTGTGGCTGTGCTAAAATATGATTGCTGAAAGGTCACCAATAGCCCTGTTGTCTTACTAGCTTGTGTCATGTGAAGATTTCATGCTTGGGATAAACCAAATATTTGAGGGCAAGAAGTGTCTATTTCATTTGCATTATAATTTTTTCCATTATATGCCACCTCCTTTTAATTAAAAGGAAAAAACATTTGAGATTTTAGGTAACTACATTGTTTGTTTGGTGAGCTTTTACTTTAAAAACGGTATAAAACCCTACCAAAAGACATAGTCCCTACTCTCTAGGAAATGGTGATATCTTGGAGGAATGCCACAGTTAATGACGGGCTTTTAACGTTTTTTTCTGACTCTTATCAGTTTGCAGGCCTTTCAGATATATCTATCTCACAAGACATCCCTGTGGAAGGAGAAATCACCATTCCTATGAGATCTCGCATTCGGGAATTCGACAGCTCCACATTAAATGAATCAGTTCAGAATACCATTGTAAGTTATACTATTTAAGAGAATTTCTGTTCAATGTCATGGAACTAAATAATAACTCTTTGTAATATTTTTCTTTGGTTCATTTGATCTTCAATATATTTTATTTATTGAAATTTAAGATTCTCTCCTTGAGAATTATTTGGTACAGGCTTTCTGGACAGTTTGGCTATAATGTGTATTAAGATTCTTAAAATTTCCAAATATTTTTTATGCTGATCATTCTGCCTCTCCAGATATAGTATAAAGAAAACTTTTGAAATAGGAAACTATTTTTTAAAAATACTGAAAAATATTAATATGCAAAGATGTTCATTATAGCATTCTTTATAATAGGGGAAAGTTGAAGAATAGGTTAAGTTATGTTACACCTATGTGGTAGAATGCTAAACAACCATTAAAAACCATGTTTACACAGAATTATTAATGATACAAGGAAATCTCTAGGTGAAAATTTAGGATGGAGTTATCTCAACTATATTTTGAGAGGTTATATTACCATACCCTTTCTCAAATGTCTTGATTTTTAGTTAATCTAGCTTCTAGGATTTATTTGCCAGTTAAATTGGTTATGTTGATAATTAATTTATTTGATATATTGTGGAGAATATGGTGGCTAGGGAGCAGGCTAATTGGCCCTTGGGATTTCATCATGTATAAACTGAAAACCAGATGTTATGTTTTACAGAACAGATTTTAGTTTCTATAAGTAATGTATTAGGAGGGCTATATTTCTCTTTTACAGAGTTTTAAAAATCAAAACAGAACTGGTGGATACGGTAAAGAGTTAGATGTTAGCTTAAGGAGTTAATAGAAAAAACCTGCCTCTGATTTGTATAGTGAAAGGGCTGAACTAGAATTTTAGCTCTAAAATTTAACAAAGGCCTCCCAGGAGATTGAAATAAAGGAGATTTTAGCAAATTAAGTTGGGGGGCTGCCTGGCAACCTTGGTTCTCACAATATAATAGTTGTGTATGTCTTTCAGATGCGTGATCTAAAAGCTGTTGGGAAAAAATTCATGCATGTTTTGTACCCGAGGAAAAGTAATACTCTCTTGAGAGATTGTAAGTATGAGGTTTTTAAGGATTTGCTGCTTCTCATCATACCTTATCATAAGTACTTTATAAGGCACAGGCTCTGTGGTAGAAAAAACTGACATCATTTTGCAATATGAATAAGTATATAAATGAAATTTTTGGAAGAAGTTAAAAATTTAGAATGGAATTTCAGAGATTGCCCTCACCAATAAATATACACTATATCCTCACCTGCTATAATTGACACTGTAAAAAGTATTTCTGGAAGCTGTGAACACATAGGGACTTTGTTCAACCAAAGAGCTAACCATCCCTAAGGAAAAGGCAAAATGTTCAATTGTGAAATTAGAAAAATAGCTAATACCCATTAAGGGTTAACAAATTAATAGTACCTTTATTGACATTTCTATTTTTAGAACTATCAATCTGATGACTGCTTTCTTTGTTCAAGATTTCTATCAATATTTGCAATAAATTATGCTGTTATTTAGAATTCTTCAAATTGTTAGACCTTTTTCTGTTCTTATCAAATATTCTTGGTTTTCTTAGTAACCTTTATCAGAAAACTTGAATTAGTTGTTTGAGAATAGTAACAATTATGTTGTACATGAGTGTACCTTCTATTTTTTATAGCATTTCAGCTGTATTTTAGGGATGTCAACTGTGTGGCAATGTGCCATCACTCTGGGTGAACACTGGATGCAGTGTAAGAATTGTTTCCAACATAGTGCACTGTGGGCTGGAGCTGACAGATGATTTGCTACCATTGGTATATAGTGGAAAGAACATGGACAAATCTTGGTTTAAATAGTGGTCGCACCACTAGCTGTGTGATCTTGGAAAAGACAGTTAACTTTGCTGAGCTGAAGTTTCTTCCTCTGTTAAAGTGGAGATAATAGCATCTACCTGGCTGGTAAGTGTTAGAGATGATAGTGCATATCAACCTCCTTGCACAGTATTTGGCATTTAATAGGCACTCCATAAATGCCAGCTATTATTCTAGTGCCTTTCTGTTCCCTCAACACTCATTATCTTTTTTAATCCTTACAACAGCCTTGTGAAGGGGGAGTTATTATTTGTGTTTTACAGATTAAGGAAATGAGTCTCAGAGAAGCTGAGTGCCTTGTCAAGATCACACAGGCAGGATTAGAATCCAATTTTCAAGTTCAGCACCCTTTCCAATCTACCACTATGACCCCAGATGTGAAGATCCTTTGAAATGTTGCTTTGGTTCAGTTCAAAGCAAGGATGCTTCTCACAATACAGAATCAGTGTGTTAGTTTGCCGATTCATTATGAATATTAGCTTATGTCATATGTTGAGGTCCATCCTTAAACCTTGTGGGGATAGACAGATAGGCTGGCACAGAGGGTGAGCAGTCATGGTCAGAATTTGCACTTCTGCCCTGTCCTGTTATAGCTGTTGGCAAAGTAACAAGGAAAAAATTCACAACTTAAAAAATAATCTAAAAAAACAACAACCAACCAACAACACAATAAGATACCACTTCACACCCCTTAGGATGGCTGTTATCATTCAAAGAAACAGAAAATAACAAGTGGTGTTGAGGATATGGAGAAATTGAAACCCCTGTATGTTGCTGTTGCTGGTGGGAGTGTAAAATGATGCAGCCACTATGGAAAACAGTATGGTGGTTCCTCAAAAAATTAACCATAGAATCATTCCAACAATTCCACTTCTGGTTGTACACTCAAAAGAATTGAAAGCAGGGATTTGAACAGATATTTGTACACCCATGTTCATAGCAGCAGTGTTCACAATAGCCAAAAGGTGGAAGCATCTTAGACCAGCGGTCGCCAACCTTTCGGACCTCACGGACCACCAGTCGTCTGCAGGCCACCGGTTGGCTACCCCTGTCTTAGACATTTGTCGATGGATGGAGAGACAAAATGTGGCATATACACCATAATATTTATCATAAATGGATAGAATATTACCCTTAAAAAGGAGTGGAATTCAGACACATGCTATAACATGGATAAACCTTAAAGACATGATGCTATGTGAAATATGCCAGATAAAAAAGGACATATATTCTATGATTCCACTCATAAGAGGTATCTAGAGTAGTCAAATTGATAGAGACAGAAAGTAAAGTGATAGTTGCTAGAGGCTGAGGGGAGAGTGGGGAGTTGTTGTTTAACTAGAGGCCCAGTGCACAAAATTGTGCACGGGCGCGTGAGGCGGCAGAGACACCGGGACTGGTCTCCTCTGTGCTGTGCGGAGTCACGGGACCCCCAGACCTCACTGTGCAGAGTGGCCACTGGGCCCCGCCTCTGCTGTGCATGTGGCCATCTTGTGGCAATATCACGTGCGAGGGCGCGAGGGCCACGTAGGTTTTTATTAGTATAGATGGGTTGGAGTTTCAGTTTGGGAAGATGAAAAATTTCTGGAGATAGATGGTGGTGATTGTTGCATAACAATGAATGTATTCAATGCCTGTACACTTAAAAGTGACTAAAATGGTGAATTTTGTGATATATACACTAAGTGGCCAGATTATTATGACCACCTGACGTTTGTAGGCAAATTAGCTATAATTTCCCGCTGAAGTTGCTAGAGGGCCAGATCATTATAAACGTCTGAATAGCACAACATACGTAAGTATCGATGCTGATCAAGTTCATCCTATCGTGTTGATGGCGTATCCCAATGGAGATGGCTTCTTCCAACCAGACAATGTGCCATGCCACGGTGCTCATATTGTGCAGGAGCGGTTTCAAGAACATGAGGGAGACTTTTCCTTGCTTAGGTGGCCCCACAATCACCAGATCTCAATCCAATTGAGCATTTATGGGACGAAGTTAAAAGAGCCATCTGGCAGCTGGTTCCACAGCCATCGAATCTCACAGAACTGGATGGTGCTATTCATCAGGCATGGTGTCAGATTCCTCGCATCACCTTTCAACATCTCGTGGAGTCAATGTCCTGTGTGTGTGTGTGTGTGTGTGTGTGTGTGTGTGTGTGTGTGTACGTGTATGTGTATTACAACAATAAGAAAATAGTTTTAAAATACTGTTACAGAGCCCTGACCAGGTGGCTTAGTTGGTTGGAGCATCATCCTGTACCCTGAAACATTGCAGGTTCGATTCCCAGTCAGGACACATACTCAGGTTGCCATTTTGATCTCCAGTCGGGTGCACACAGGAGGCAACTGGTTGATGTTTCTCTGACTCTCTCTTTCTCTCTCTCACAAAATCAATAAAAACATGCTAAGGCAGGGATAAAAAAATACATTTGAAAATACCATTGCAGATTTTTTACAAATTACAAAAATTTCCAGTGCATTAAAAAGCCAGTTTATTAATGTCAATTGTACTTGAAATCAGTTTTTCAGTTGCCAAGTGTAGTATTCTTTTATGTAAAGATATATATGTGAAGAAGGTAATTGTGCTCTGAGCTGCATATTATTGAATTGTTGGAATATTAATCACCAATCACTATTGATTGAGAACTACTGTGGTTAGACCTGATGTTGGCAGAACTTTTTATAGTTTTCAAAAAGCTTTCATGTTATTTGTTAAAGTTTAACCTTATAGCCCTGGTTGGGTAGTTCAGCTTTTTGGAGCATTGTCTGGATATGCCAAGGTTGAGGGTTTGATCCCCTGTCAGTGCACATACAAGAATTAACCAATAAATGCATAAATAAGTGGAACAACAAATCGATGTTTCTCTCTCTCCCTTTCTCTAAAATCAGTAAAGAAATAACATTTTAAAGCAAGTTTAACTTTATAAAATTACCAATATTGACCTGATTTTTCACCTATAACAACAGCAATTCCATTTTAGTTCAATGTAGTAATTATAAAAGGGAAGCAGTGTGGCAGAGTGGAAAGAACTTCATAGTAGGAATCAGAAGACCTTGGTTCTGGTCCCACCTCTATACCTAACTGTTGATATAAACTTGGGAAAGTGACTTGCTTTTCATCTTTACTTTTCATATTTGTGAGATGGGCCTGAGTATACTTGACTTGTCTAATGTAGTCTCAGATTGGTGAAATTATTTGAGTCTAGTCTTCTTTCTGAGGGTGCAGGATGGTGTACTTCTCATTCATTGGTCTTTATGGCATGTTGGAATGTGACTTGGTGGGGGGAGAGGTAAATTATGGGATATGAAATAAAACTGAAAGGATCTATTAAAGAAGGACATTCAGAATTGGGGAGCAGGGAAGGCAAATAAAGGGGTAAGAGAGGAGGGAAGGCTTGGGCAGACAGACAGAGCATTGATATCTGAATTCCAAGAGTGGGAGAGGTAGATATTAGAATAAAGATAGAAAATACTGCATGGTTGTTTCTTAACAATCTTCTTTCTTTTCTTGCCTTGTAGGGGATTTATGGGGCCCCTTGGTCCTTTGTGTGACACTCGCACTGTAAGTATACATATTTCCTTTGTCATTTGAGTTGGAATAAACTTTTTGGTGGAATTTTAAAATTGAGGGGAATTTTGACTGAATATTTTATTTATTACTTCTATGACATATTGTACTTATGTATTTAAGTCTAAAAAGTCAGAAAAAGTTGGTGACTGGCAAGAAGGTAGGGAGGGAGAGTATGTAAGAGAGTGAGGGAGCAACAGAGGAGTGTGTGGATGTGTGTGGTGTGTGTGAATGAGAGCTAGGGACAGCTAGATCCTACAGATCTTCCAAGGGGCTGCCAAACCCGGCAGTCTTAGATGGCGAAACCCCCTGCCACTGGAAACACTCCGGGGAGGACACCGCCAGCACAGAGACCGTGCCATCTTGAAGAACAGAACTGCTTGAGACTAGGATCCTAGCCTCGCCACTACCCAATCTGGTCTCAGTCACAAACTGGGACCCTACAGCCACTTGGGTAAAAGACCTGCGACCACAGCTGCAAACCCACAGACACCAAGACCCCAGGCACCCTGGCCGCAGATTTCTGTGAGTCACAGAGCCAATCTCCCTCCCCACTGGCCCCGCAGCAGTGGCATAGGAACTGCCAGACCCTCTCTGCACAAACAGGCCTCCTGCCCACTCATAGCAGTGGCGGCTCTACCTGAATTTGAGCCTGGGTGTGCATACACGGGAAGTTTGTTTCCTGTGACCAGAATCCACGCCCAGGCAGGGAGGCTGTGCTGAATTTGAACCTGGGGGTGCAAACTCGGGGAGTTTGTTTTCCGTGACCAGACCTTGTGCCCAAGCAGGGAGACTGCGCTGAATTTGAGCCTAGGTGTGCGATCTGGGGGAGTTTGTTTTCCGCAACCAGATCCCGCACCCACGCAGGAGACAGTGCTGAATTTGAGCCTAGGTGCACGATCTGGGGGAGTTTGTTTCCCACAACCAGATCCCACACCAATGCAGGGAGACAGCGCTAAATTTGAGCCTGGGGGTGCGAACTCGGGAGTTTGTTTCCTGCGACCAGACTCCGCGCCCAAGCAGGGAGGCTGCACTGAATTTGAGCCGAGGTGTGCGATCTGGGGGAGTTTGCTTTCCATGACCAGACCCTGTGCTCATGCAGGGAGGCAGAGCTGAATTTGAGCCTGGGGGCGCGAACTTGGGGAATTTGTTTCCTGTGACCAGACACCACACCCAAGCAGGGAGGCTGTGCTGAATTTGAACCTGAGCACTTGAACTTGGGGAGTTTGTTTCCTGCAATGAGACACCATGCCCACACTGGGAGGCAGCACTGAATTTGAGCCTGGGTGCACGGACACAGGGAGTTTGTTTCCCGCAGTGCACATCCACGTGACCAGACCCCACACCCACAATGGGCGGCAGTACCTCCTGACTTTGATTCAGGGCAAGCACACATGGAAGGCTGTTTTCTGCAGGGCAGGAGTGGACCTCCTGCTGACACAGTGCAACTGTGCAACCTAGTCCCCCAGGCAGACTGGGGACCCAGATTTTCTACACAAGAGGCAGCACTGAGCACCAGTGACTTGACTGTGTTTCTCATTGCACGTGCCTGGGATCCCTGATTCCCAGTGCATTCACACTAATAGCCACAACTCTAATTCTTGGCGCATGCACACACAGGGACCCTGGTGCTTGGCGCAAGACCGCACTAAGTAACAACAGAGACTCTGATACTCCATTCTCAGTGCAGACACAGGCGGTCTCTGACTCCTGACAAGCGCTAGGGCACTCTGGTTTTTGGCACACACCAGCAGAGTCTCTGTTTCAGCATGGCGCAGGCAGGGTTCCAGATTCTAGGTGTGCACACGAGGCCACACTAAGCACCTGTGACTCTGATCCTGGGCGAGTGTGGCTCCCACCAACCCATGGTAGCCACATGTCTTTGTGTCACACTGCACACAGCCCAGGCCCATGCAACTCAACATTTGAACCATCTGGAGATAGTCAGAATGGGGAGACGACACAATCCCCAGAGGAAAGAAAATGAGGAGTCACCAAGGAAGGAAATTAATGAAACTGAAGCATGCAACATGACAGAAAAAGAATTCAGAGTAATGGTTGTACAATTCATTCACCGGCTGGATGAGAAAATCAACCTATGCAAGAATCAGGAAGAAATGAAAAGTGATATAGCTACAATCAAAAACACCATGGAAAGTTTCAACAGCAGACTAGAAGAAGCAGAGGACTGAATTAGTGAGTTAGAAGATAAGGCAGAGAAACAAGCTCAATCTGAACAGCAAGTGGAGAAAAAAATTAAAAAGCAGGATGAGAGCCTAAGGGAGTGTTGGGACAATATGAAACGAAGTAAAATACGTATAATAGGGCTGCCAGAAGGACAAGAAGAGCAGCAAGGATTAGAAAATTTATTTGAAGAAATAAGGACAGAAAACTTCCCAGATATGGAGAAGAAAAAAGTTACACAAGTACAGAGGGTCGCAAGCAAGATGAATCCCAAAAGACCCATATAAATACATGTGATAATTACAATGCCAAATGTTAACGACAAAGGGAGAATCTTAACACATTGTATGCAGGAAACGTATTTATACGTTTTATGTTGACTGGTAGTAGAGCGCAGGACACGTATTTTATAGACGTGGGATACGTTTTTTATAGACTAGCGGTAGAATGTGGGTAACGTATAAATACGTAAACTAAAGTTATCATAATTTTACTGAACGTTGCCATTTGCGCAAAAAATTAGCAAAAATGGCCCACGCCACCTGTTAGTGCATGATAAAAACTACCTGCAAACAATGTGTTAAAGGCTGCAAGAGAGAGACAGAGAGTTACCTACAAAGGATCTCCCCCCCGCCCCCATCAGATTATCAAATGATTTCTCAACAGAAACACATCAACCTAGAAGGGAATGGTAGGAGGTATACAAAGTGATGCAAAGCAAAGGACTAAATCCAAGAAAACTATCCAGCAAAATTAAAGTGGAAATCAGGAGCTTCGCAGACAAAAAGAG